ACCAGCAGGGGTCTGAGTTTTATTTAGAAGGAAGATTTCAATCCAGGAACATTTTGAAGGAAAATTGACCTATCAGTTTCTTGCAAACATTAATAAAAGTTACCCAAATTTTCCTGCAAATGGTAAAGTCTTCCAATCAATTAAGTCTGAATGAAAACTATTCCAGCTTGTAATTAAAGAAAATTTGCATAGCAAAGCAATACTATTGTTAAAATTTCTTTTTTCTTTTCAAAATATGATTGATAGCAATGTTCTAAACAAATAACTTCCAATATGGTTTTGTGTAAAATCCTCCCAGAGTCTTTAAAAACAGTTGCTGAAATGATGAGTTCCCTTTCAATCTGGTACAGAACATTATCTGCTAGAGAAGGGCATAAGTAAGGACATTTGATGTCTGAACCCCCCCCGAGATCAGTTTTGCTACCCCATGTGTATTTGTACTCTTGTTACATGGTCAGCTGTTATAACAGAACACTCTAAGCTTGGCTGGTGGTAACTGTTTTTATTAAAACAAATGTGTTCATTAACCTGGATAATGATACAAAATCTGACTTTCTTCAGTGTTTCATGGTGTGTGTCTACCAAGTGAACAGATAAAAGATAAAAAGGTAGACTGTACCTCCCTGCTCTTTATTGCAAGCAAGTATGGTCTTGCAGCATCATTGGTTGCTTCTGTATTTCTTTTTTAGAACAATGGTGTTGTTTGGTTCAATTTCTTCTGAACTGATCCGATTTCTCCTGATTCCTGCTGTCAAATACACTGGTTCTTCCCCTGCCTCTTCATTTAGTATATTTTGCATCTAATTATTTGCTATTCGGTCATTGCTATATTCATTCATTGCTATTCACTCTATTGCTGTACCCACTCTTCCATTATATCACAGATCCAGAGCAAATCTTGCTCAATTTTTTCTGAAGCAACTCTTGATGCCAGTCAGAATTGCTGGTCATTGTGACACTACACACAGGACAAGCACAAAGAGAATGCCAAGCATGACTGCAATGTCGTTGTCTCTGTTTCTATACCATATGGACTTTCATGTGTTGTCTCCCACCCCAGCCCCCACCAAATCCTGTGATAATGAATTACACATTTATGTAGTGGAATAGAGAACAAATACCTTGGGTAATTGTATCTGCTACATTTATTTCATATGACTGCTTCTTAAAACAAGTATGTGAAATATATTTGCGTGTCAGAAGGACAATAAATCTAAGACAAATGAAAGATTTACTGCCTGCATTATATAAATGACTTCATCTTCTTGGTGAGACAAATACTCAATTCAGGAACATGTAATAAAGAAGTAATGTTTAACATTATCCTCCCAGTACACCTACAATAATGTATGATCTGTACCAGCACAATTTTTCCTTTATCACAGACCATACATTTGTAACTGTTCTGTAGCTATGAAGTTACTTTTTACACACTAAATTTAAGTTCAGCCAAAAAAAAAGACAATTATGAACAAAAATCTTTGTCATCTGTTTTTCTCTTTGCCTCTGAAATCCCTGTTTACTGGGTTGGCTGCTTAAGCCAAGCACCTTAAATGGTTTAGAAATTTTCTTTTGTCCCTGTTGTTTTCACTCATGTAACTCTATATGATTTCATGGTCCTCAACTGGACATAGTTCCTCCTCTGTCTGCTGTTACTGTGGGATTTTTGTAATGACTGCTGTGTTTTTAAATCCCTCAACACTTCTCACATGAAAGACCAGAGAGCACTTTATGTTTTTTCACATATTAAAAAGACTGATCATGATTGCAAGCAAACACTATGATTTTGGAACTGGTGGAAAAGAAAAAGCTAGTCAGCAGTCTTAGGTTTGATTTTTTCCTAGCATGTCCCTAGTGCCCCTACTGACTCACTGCCTATGGTCTGAGAAGATGCCAAAGTGGTGGGAAATGTCTGCTTGCTGTTCTCCTTGGCATTGCTGGGTCCCAGCCAGCCCTACCTCCCAGCCCTGACTTGGCGAGTGACCGTGTGAATGCTGCAGCCTTGCCTGGAGCCCTGCACTAAGGCATGGTGAGTGCTGTGTGCTGTAGGCTTGCTCCATCTGAGTAGGGGGGATGGCTGGTAGCTTGGGAAAGAAGCAGGAACCTCAGCGTGTTTGTAGCAAGTTGGGGGTTGGTCTCTTTTCCCAGGTAACAAGTGACAGCACGAGAGGAAACTACCTCAAGTTGTAGCAGGGAAGGTTTAGATTAGATATCAGGAAAAAATTCTTCACTGAAGGGATGGGCAGGATTTGGAATATGTTGCCCAAGGAAGTGGTGAAATCACCATCCCTGGAAGTGTTTTAAAGGTGTATGGATATGGCACTTGGGGATGTGGTTTAGTGATGAACATGGTGGCGCTGTGTTAATGGTTGGTCTTGATAATCTTAGAGGTTTATTTCAAAACTGAATGGTTCTGTGGATGGCCCAGATTACAAAGATATAGGGGCAGCAATGTTGGGGCCCTACTATGGTCTTCTTGGCATGCCTTTTCCATCCCCAGTGTCCCTGGAGCCCTAGGCTCTCTTACTCTGATCCCTAACCCTAACCCTATCCCTGATCAAAATTCAGCATATCTGTGTACCATTTTATCCACAAGAGAAGGAAGAGCAATAAGGGATTTTTTAACTTTTACTGTCATTTGAGATATGCACTAGGATGCCTTGATGTCTAAACTGTCACTATTTAGTAGTTTAGAATCCTCTTCGGTTCAGTTTATAGGGAGAGCAATATCACTTTACTGCTTTCAACAAACTCAGCTTTGTAACAGTACTCCATCACTGCACTCCACCACATAGCATCATATATCAAGTAGGCTGTGGCCAGGGATGATTTTCTACTTCAAATAAAATCCAGCAAACCCCACTTTTTCAGAAATAATTTCTTTATTTCACCAGTCTATGGTTGTGTGTCTGTGCACAGAGACTCTGGGCCCCTCTAGACATTACTTTGACCCTTGTACCCTGTTGATTTCTACACTGAGGGTCTCCTCCTCCCTGACCCTTCCAGCTCTTTAGAGTATAATTATTTTTCAAGTCTGCCTGCTTTCTATTGCAGTGAAAGGGTCTTTGGAAATCCCAGGAACCTGTAGTGGTGAGACAATCTAACCCAGCCACAGCTGCTCTGGCCAAACTAGCACTCCCTCATGACAAAGTGGATCCCTTGGCACATTGCCGTCTGTTTTTCCCACTTAGTCATATACAACTGGGGTATGTCAGCACTTATTCCTCTGGCTAAGCATGAAAATTCCCATATTCTTGGAGTCTGTTGTGCATTGTGCTAATCCCTCTGTTTAGTCTTTCTCTTTCTGTCACACTTATTTGGTGATTCTCAGAGTTAGAGTTCCTTTTCTTTCCTTTCCTTTTCTGTGCTCCTCAAAACCCCATCTTGGAACTGTGCACAAGGGTATTATAAATTATTAAAACCAGGTTTGCTCATATAAATAAGCCCAAGAACATGTGTTGGTACAATAGTTGTGGTTTACTTTGCATCTGCTTGCCAGTCAGCTTTCAACATTCAATATTTCTTAATGCCTTGTCACCTTATACTTTTGTGAACCAGAGAAATTTTCTTCAGTTTTTAATTGGATGAAGTTTGCTCAGCCAAACTGGATAAAGAATAAATAACAAAGTCCAAGGGATTGCAGTTCTTGGATGCCAAACATTATCAGCCACAGAGCCACTATAACAGGGTAAGTTCCTCCAAGAGAGACAGCAAAACCTGGGAGCTGCTATAGGAAGCTGGTGCATAAACTGCCCCTTGTAGAAATGGTGTAATCCCCATTCCACGATGTCTGAATTTCCATTTTCCCTTCCATTCACTGGGGCTAATGAGCAAACACACCTTGCTTATGGAGGCCTTTTGAAAATCTCCGTTGCAAGGAACTTCCAGAACACTAGGTATGTCTTGATATTTTGATTATTTCATTGGCATGTCCAAGGACAGCAAAATCCACCCAACTGTGGCAAGGTACTGCCTGTAGCCCTGGTGTGGGAAATATCTATCTAGTGAGATGAGCAACGAGTGAGACATATGGGGAATAGTCTGGTCTTCAAGTTAGGAATTTCACAGCTAAGCTCCAGCATCTTGAGCTGTATAAATGAATCATCAGCAGAGTGAAACCACAGAATGACACCAGCTTCCCTAAGAAAGTTTCTCTCTCTATATATATAGCTGCTAGACTTGCACATTTCTGTTTATAAATACTCAGTGATAGCTAACCACAAAATGAAGCAGCCTTCTCAGCAGACATCTACTAAGGAAAAATAAAATTCTTGTTCTATCTTTCATTTCTTCCTGAGTTACTCTAAACTAGACTTTTGTACCTCCAGATAAACAATTGAAACTTGAGGTATTCATACTGCTGCATGTGATCAAGATATTTTCTGGATAAAAAGACAGCCAGGACGAAACTCTTCTGAAGAAAGCTGTTGAAAAGTGTTGGTCCTTGTTAGATGTATCTGAGGATATTAGTCTATCTGGGAACTGCAGTCCCTCACTTGATTGCCCTCTTTTAAAAGGCTGAAACTGCCACAATTCATAATCCTTTTCTTACTCCTCCTCATAAGCCTGGAAACCATAATTTGCTTCTAGCTGTTACTTCTTTATACCCCATTACAAGAGAGCTTTAATGCAGGCTGTCACACTAAAATGGATGTTATCAGAGGAAAGGGGAATCAGCACATTTGTGATTCACCAGGGATCTGGGAAATCACAGAAGATTTATGCTGTCCATGAAGAGCTTGATAAACCACAAAATGTGAATATTGCAATTATTTAGCTGCTGACTATGCTGCAGTGCACCTTTTGTTACCCATGAAAATTTTCTTCTTGAGGTAGCGTGTGAAATAGTCATGTGAAGACATGAGTGTATGCAAGCTACCATTCGTCAGAAAAGGGGAAAATTAGTCATATATTTAGCAGTCATTTCCCCTTTTTTTGGGAAATCCAAACATATTTTCTCTGTGTCCGTGCCTCTGTTTCTCTTATCCTCACTCTACGTAAGGAAAGAAAGTTGGGTCTAAAACGTTATTTGGTTTTGACACAAATCTGATTGGGCAATGAGAGACAAATTTCCGCTGTGTGTTGACCTCAACCTTATATAAGGTCCTCACTAGGAATTTTCAGTCTGATGGCTTCTTTTTGTGAGACACTTTTGGCTGAAAGACAACAGAAACATAGGTAAGTGAATCTGATTGAAATTTGGGAATGAAAACCTTCCCTAAACCCCCAAATGGTGTAGAGCTTATGGAGATTGTTAGTTACTAAACCAAAGGGACCAGAAAGCTATGAACAGAAAAACCAAGTATTTTTGTCAGGCAAAGGATCTGAAGAGAGAGAAACCCACCTGTTAAAGGGTATCAATGTGAACCACGGGGCTTGTTAATGCCTCTAGCATCTGATTCAGGTGTAGCTGAGACAGGCTAGAGCTACCAATTCCCTGTAAACACATGCAGACAGAAGAGTAGGGGAGATGACCCATGGTTATGAAACAGTATTATTGAGCAAGAGGTTGGTTTTGTGGTGTTGTAGAGATGATAATAAGCTGGAAATAGTTTATTGTAGTCAAACTACTATCAGATGTCAGGTAAGTATAGCTACTAGAGCAGGATGAAATTTGGATTAAAACCATGATGGAAGTATGAGCATGACAGGATACAAAAATATACCCAAAGAATATGAATATGGCTTTGTTAAATTGGTAGAAATATTTATTTCTGCTTTTGATCTGAAATAGTTGTACAGTCATTTAATATTCATCATAGTTTTAAGGTAAGGTTAAATGCATGCAATTTCCATTTCTGTATATAAAATGGAAATAATGTAATGTAAAATGTGGATATGTGTACTGTATTTCTTATAAATTCCTTACATAGAGCATAAACTAATGCCTCTATCCAGCATGTTTTATATATTTTTGCCCATGGCACACCAATGTGAAGCATAATGAATCAACTGAGTAGCAGGAGCTGAGGCCTCCTGGCAGAGCAGAAGTATTCAGTGATGTACACAGACACTGCCATGCTCATGCCAGTCCTATACAGATGATGCTTGATGAATGACTGGCAGAGGAGAATTTTGTTTTCCCTTAGAAGTCTATCTGATTTTCAGGACAGGTTGTTCAGGGTTTTCCTTAATTTTTTTTTTATTTTTTTTTTTTAAGAACAGATAGTAATAGTGTTCATGCTGAAAACTTGTGCACCACCAGAAAGATGGGTATACATGCCATGGGAATCAATGTTTTTTTTGTCCTAACAGAAACATTTGTTGGAGTCAAGAAAGCTTGGCTCTGCTTGCAGCAGGAAGTTTTCCTGCAGCCTGATTCACACTAGCTGGCCTACTTTGCTCCTGTGTTCACCCAAGCTACAACACTACAGCTCATTCAAAGCAGCTGACCCCAACCTCAGTCATATCTTATTGCAAAATAAGCAGAGCTAAATTTTTCCACACATAGCTATTGCTCTGAAAAGCTGTGGGGACAGCAGCATCTTGTGGTGTGCTGTTTTCATCTTCTGGAGTGAAAGGGAAGGGCCAGAAGTGATATGTTTGTGCCAAGCCAGATGTTCTGGTTCCACAGTTCAGCCCCCATAAACTAGGGATGGAGACACCTTTCTGCTCACTGAGGATGGACCAAAGCTCCCCAAGTCTGGAGTGAGAAAAATAGCAGTTAATTCTTAGGATAATATTGAGTATTTTGGTTATATAATCTGTCTTGTAATAAACTTCCTTGTAGATTTCAAAACACTTTCCTTCAACCTTCTCCTGATTTCCTGTGGAAAACAATGCATGGGCTCTTCCTTGTCCTGGTGATGTGTACAGTGGGTGCCTCTTCTTTCAGACTCCAGCAAGTAAAAAACACAGGTAAGTGTATATTTGTCTTTTTTCTTCTGTTTCCCCCACCATTTTTTTTAATGTTCCTGTCTGACAGTAATATAAAAATATCTCTGATTTATATAGAAAACTGCCCAGATCACACCGTGTTTTTCAAACACTACTATGAACTACATGAAGAACCTGTGGTTCTGAAATGCCCTTCCCCCAGATACAAACATTTGGATTTCTCTGCCTTGATCCCTAATATCACATGGTATAAAAATGGTTCAAACACCATGATATCAGGAAGAGACGAAGATACAAGAATCTGGGCAAAAGGAAATGCACTCTGGTTTTTACCAGTGATGCTAGAAGACTCAGGAGTATATATCTGCACAAAAAGGTGGGTATTTAAAAGAAAATCTAGTTCACTAACAAAATGACTATGTCTGAATGCGTTACCTTGATTTTAAACACTGGTTATATTCAGAGCATTTCTGGATATAATTTCCTTGCTGACTTTATTAGAGAGAAAAAATGTGGGAAGTCAGGACCCTTAGAGAATGTTGTGTGTCTCCTATAAGTACCAGTACTGAAATTTGGATAAACTGTGGAACAGCATTGCCACTTTGGCTACAATCACATTGGAGAATATAGAGAGTTTTTTCTAGCTACCTCTGAGCCAGTCAGTGCTATGGCAAGTGGGGCATGCTGCAGGAAGCGGGGTTTGCTGAGCACAAATAACCTTGTTGCATCTCAGATTGCCGTATGAAGCCTGTATAAGACATTGTGGCTCTGCAGTGGCTTTCCCCTTCCCTCTTCCATATCCTTGGTTTTCACTTTTCTTTCAAGTCACATTTTAAACAAGAATTTGATTGGCTTGGTATTGTTGGAAGACCTTTCATGAGACCCAGTGTGTGGTATCAGACTTGTGGTGTTGCAGTGAGTTGAGACTTTAGCCATGGCTCTTTTCAGCTCTATTGGTATTCTTTTTTTTCTGAGTGTTTTCAATCTGACAGCGCACTGTACCATGTCAAAAGAGGTGCCAGGGTCTGAATTTGTTGACGACTGAGGAAGGCAAAAAATCCCATCACCCTTAGAGCCTGAACTTCTGAAGACGATCCAGGTCCCTGTCCCCTGCTATGTCCTGCAGACAGCCTGCCTCTCAGTGTACCTCTGGCACTTGGCTCTGGGGTTTATACTAGAGAACATATCTCTACATCCCTGGAGCTGCTTGTGGAAAGCATGGTCTCCTTGCTTGCAAGGCACACCTTGATAGAGATACGTGTCAGCAGTAGAAGAGATGGGCAAGTTGAAAAATCATGCTCAGCATGTTGAATTGGTCTTTCCCCACATCTCAGCAGCAATTTCAGTTGTGGAGCAGAAGATAAGATACTGACAGTGAAGCCCAAATGGCAAAATGTTGCAAATACTGTTCTAGAGCAGAGTAGTTGCCTGAGATGTTTAAGAGTGCTCTTTAATCCCTTTTGGACTATTATGCCTCACTTTGTCAATATATAACTCTACAGCAGTGTTACTGAGAGCTAGTAAAATGCTGTGAAATTTGTTTGAAAAAGACATGCAAGAGCCAAGTAGGTAACTTCATTGTTAACATTATAGTAGGACTAATAAAGTGCAAGCAAATTACATTTCCCTTGCAAATTATCTCACAGGGAATTCAGCAGATCTTTTTATCAACTCTGTGAAATGAAGGTAGCAGCAAACTATCACAGATCTCTGCTTCTGTGTTCTGTGGAGCAAGTATTTTGGGTCTGGGCATCTGGCCTGTACGTGACAGATGGCCAGTGTGTCCTGGCAATAGTGTCAGTCTGTATGCTTGCAGTCTACAGCTGCTCTCCTGGAGGTGGCAGCCCGGCCCCCCTGGCTTTGCTGGCCCCTTAAAGGATCATGCACTGCCCTGAGGCATTTCAGAAGCAGGCTTCCAGAGTTGTAAAGGATGGAATTTGATCATCTACCTCCTCTAGTGCAGTCTTCTTTGAGACTGGAAGTGATTGTCACTTGGTGCCAGAAAGAAAAGTTGAATATTGTGAACCTTTCAAGGGCAGAATTTCTTCTTTGCTATACAAAATTATATGTACTAGCAGAAATGTTTATGGTTGTGCAACAGTAACTGCAGATGTATTGTAATACATGCTTTAAGCTTGTTATTTAATCATTAAGGTTTTCAAAACAATTTCCAAGGAAATGGGGCAGGGTTCATGACACACCTGCTACTTCAGGTTAACATGTTCCTCCTCCTTACAAAGTTAAAATTGTGCTGCAGCCTAAATGTGCACAGGAAACTTGTTGTACTAAAAAGAAAAGAAAAGACTGAAGGTCTGAGGCAGACATGTGTCAGCAACAAGTTTAGATTGTGCCAAAAGAACACTACCAGTGATTTTACAGCATCCCTCTTGGTATGATCTCAGTCTTGGCCTCTGTTAAGGAGGGAAATGGAGCCAAGAGGAAACCAAGAGTGTCATTTGAGTTCCCCTCGTCACTCTCGGTGGCTCACCTCTCCCTGCTCTGTCTGCAGGAACTCCTCCTACTGTGCCGAGGTCTCCATCCACCTCACAGTTGTGGAGAAAACAGCTGCTCGGGAGATTGCCTATCGCCAGGTCCTCTTCACTTTCACCTCTGGAAGGATTGTTTGTCCCGACCTGTGGGATTTTACACCAAACAGGACAAGCCTGGAGCTCAAGTGGTACAAGGTAGAACATTTACTTCCTTTTTGTGCACAGCCTCATCTCAACTTGGCACATAAATCTCCACTTTATGTTTCTCCTGAACATCATGTTGTTTAAATCACTAGCATAGTGTAATACACTGGGAACTTTGGGGCAGATGTATACATTTTAGGAAAAGTTCTCTGGGGCACAGTCAGCACAGGCTGAAGTGTTCCACATGTTTTGTGCTCTCACCAGCAGTGCAACTGTTTATAAGGCTAGATTACTTACCCAACTCCAGGGTTTGCCACCTGATATCAGGTCCTCTTCTTTGGCACTGTGCTTCTTTTTATGGCCCCTCTAGTGAATCCCATAAAGTAGAACCTCCCAGGGATACTGCCTCCATGTTCAGGTGGGGTATCTTTCATTAACCAACTGGAATACACCATTTGGTAATACTAGATGAATTAGATAATACTTGGAGTGTTCTCTTGTCTAACTGGCCAGTTTGCTGCTTTTCAAGTAGGCAAGCCTGGTTTTGCCTCTAAGATCAAAAACAATGTCCCTGGCTGTTAAATTTCATACTGGAGAACAGGGGATTCTTCTCCCATTTCCATAATAATTTGCTTTAGCTTTTATTTACACTCCCACTATGCACTGCCTTGTGCAGCTGTAGCCTTACCATAGGATGCAATACACAGGCTGGCTTGCAGTGCCTCAGTTATGATCTGTACCATACCAGCAAAATGTTGCTACTCAGGACTCCCTTCAGAAGAGGGAACATAACCCACTTTATCTAAGCAATAGGCTGCCCCCTCAATATGGCTCTTGTTACAAATGTATGAAGGAGCTACCCTGCCTTCATGAGGAAGGAACATAATTTCTCCTAGCAGGTTTCCAGCCCATGTATGAACAGAGCCTTAGCGATACAAAGCAGGAATTTCTAATAATTTATAGGGTAAGTAACAGTTATGTGTAATCCTGAGCGATTACAAGTATTTGTCTTCAAAGAATGCCTTAGAATATTACGCTTTTGAGGTCATGTAGGGAAAGTGATAACATTGTGAAAACCTCCATGGGTACTAAAATCTTAAGTGATTGCTCTTAAGATGACGCAAGGAAGAGCCTATGATATGTTTTCTATCTTAAAATACACACTTTATGGAAGAGCTATGCACACACATAGATTAATATAGCAATTCTTCACACTTCGTATAGTGCCACAAGGCATTTTAGAGATGGATACACATTAAAAGAACTTGTGCTTTGGTGGGAAAGCAGAACTGCTCGGATTTCCCAGTGATAAGTAAATGTCTAACAACAGAGAGACAGAGATAATTTGTCTGAGAGTTACACAGGGTGTAATCATAGCTATCTGAGTCATAACACCAGTTTCTGTCCTTTCTCCAGGATGCTCTGCCTTTGGAAGATGACAATGAAAGATTCATCATTCTGAAAGGTTCAGAGTCTCTGATCATGGCATCTGTGCTACCGACAGATGCGGGGTATTACACCTGCAAGATGTCATTTCCATTTGAAGGTGTGGAGTATGAAATCACCAGGACAATTCAACTGGAGACTGTTGGTAAATATAGTATCGGATGATGAGGGGGATGGAGAACCTCTCATACAAGGAAAGGCTGAGAGAACTGGGTTTATTCAGCTTGAGAAAGAGAAGGCTTTAGTGTGATCTAATTTCAAACTGAAAGAGGGCAGGTTGAGATTAGCTGTTGTGAGGAAGTTTTTTACTGTGAGGGTAGTGGGGCACTGGCACAGGTTGCCCAGAGAAGTTGTGGATGCCAACCCCACCTTCCTGGAAGTGTTCAGGGCTAGGTTGGATGGGGATTTGGGCAACCTAGTCTAGTGGAAAGTGTCCCTGCCCACGGCAGGAGGGTTGGAACTAGTGGTCCTAGGAACCTTTTAGGAAAGGTTTTAGGAGCCTTTAAGGCTCCTTCCAACCTAAACTATTCTGTGGTTCTATGATTCAATGATGGACATATTAAAACATTATAGCACATAAGAAAACCTCTTAATTGCTAATGACAATCTTGAGAGAAGCTCACGCTCAGCCTTTCAGCTATGCCAAGGGAATGCTTGTCCTGCCCCTGATGGGTCTCCCACAGCACCCCTGGCCTGGCAGGGGTCTCTCCTGCGAGCACCCGTGTTTGTTAAACGGAATAGTTGATGTCTTGGGGGCAGGAGGGGCTGTGCCACTGCTCAGGGCTTCAGGGCAGCTCGGAGATGAGGCCCTTGGCGGGGACCGCTGTGTGGCGGAGCGGCGCGAGCGGCGCGGGGCCCGGGGCGCTGCTGCGCACAGCGGCCGGCAGGGGGCGCTCGTGCCGCACACGCCTCACGCCGTCCCTGAGGGCCGGGCGGGGAGCGGGATCCTGCCCGTCCCCACAGCGAGGGGCTCCGGCTCGGAACGGCGAACCCCTGCTTGCCATCGGGCCTAGCAATCAAACCCTTCCCCGGGACACGACAGCTGTTGGGTGAAGTGGCATGTTTCTGGTGCTGGGGCCCTGCCCACATTTTCTCTTGTCTTAGCACTGACTCTGTTCTCTTTTTTTGCCAAGAACAAGAGAAGAGAATTACCCCGATAATTGTGTATCCAGCCCAAAAGACAACATCAGCTGCTCTTGGTAAGCCCTGACATTGTATTTGGAAACGTTTAATCAGAAAAAAAAAAAAAAACCAAAATAGAAAAAAAGGTGTAATTTGTTGGCATAAATTGTTGTAGGTTTTTGATCTCAATTATATTACTTGGGGGTTGGTGCTGAACTGTTCTTTGCTTTTTAATGTCTACAACCAGATGCTGTCTCCTGGGTATATAGATATACTTCCATATAATATAGATACAAATCAGTCTGGAGTCTCTGTATTCCTGAGTTACATTAATTTTAACGATAAAAAAGTTTCAGAAATTTTGCAAAATCACTTTATCCCTGGTCCCACCTTCAGCTGAATGTCCTCACCCACAGCACCTCTGAGTGAAGCTGTGCTGCTGGTTTAATGCAGTTGCTCCAGAGGGGTTAACCACACGGTGCCCTATGGGCAGCACTGGGTCAGAAAGGGCAAGGCCACAGGGCCACCACAGCCTTGCCTCTAGGGAATGTGTTTAGTGCAAGAGTTGCTAAGTGTTGCAATAGGCAAATTGTTTGGTTAGCAGCAGGAAGGACTAGCCACACTGAAGGGTCTTGCTGCTAAGGAGTAGGGGATAAAAAACAATCTGGAGATTAACTTCAGTTTTGAAAGTAGTGGTTCTTGACGTGTGTGAGATCTCCCATTGGAGTTGTTGGTTTTCACCAAAAGAAAGAGTAGTTCTTCATAGGTATCCAAATTGTTTTTCAATCTTTATTTTTTTGACAGGCTCCAAGATGACTCTCCCATGCAAAGTGTTTGTTGGGCTGAGCAGCCATTTTCAAACTGATGTGGAATGGCTGGCAAATGACACCAGCATTGACGTGGTTTATAAACAAAGCAGAGTTACGGAGGGGGAACGACAGTAAGTCTGGCTGAAAGTGCTTCCTTGTGCTTATTGTTCTAACCTAGAGTGCTACAGGCACTCTTGGTGCAGCTGAATGCCAAGTAATGAAATGGGAAATGGAGAGATCTAAAGTGAGAGTGAGAACCAAGGTAAAAAAAGAGGAGGCAAGCAAAAAAACCCAAGCCCAACCCAGTCAGTGAAATAAATTTTTATCTCAGTTTTTTTGTTACATGATAGTTTTCAAATGAGCCAACTTTGATACAAACTTTTAAGCACATTTTTATGAGCAAGTGAGCTGTTGTAAGGGCTGACTGCAGCAGAAAGCAGGGAGACTTGATCCTTCCCAGCGCTTCTCTTATCTCACTTCTTGCCCCATGCAAACAAAGTGGCAACATTCTCTCCCTGATATTCATGGGGTTCTCTGAATACTCTAAGACAGCAGAAAATTATCTAGTGGTTTGATGGTTTTTGTTTTCTAAATGACATTGTGTTTCCCCCTAAACTTGTTCTTTTCTGCATTAGTGAATGAAACTGACTCACACAGACACCCGCTGAGTGCTAGAACAGATGCTAGAGTAGCACTGAAGGGAATACTGGTGGAGGGAGAAACAGGATGTTCCACATCCTCTTGCCCTGATTCATTGTGTCTCCCAGTCTGGAGGAGCCTTCTTTCAGCTGCCTCATAGCTGCACACCTCAAGGTTTTCCCAGCTGCCTCACAGCTGTACACCTCAAGGCTTTTCCCACTAGGAAAGGGAAAGATACTTGCTTTTTGTACCTGTAGTGTGTTACTTGAGTAACTCACTACATCCAGGAACACCTCTAGTGTTTTTGTAAATGTGAGCTAAAATTTCTGACTGAAATCTCTTAATTAAGGACTAAGGCAGCTTGTTTTGTTTCTTGTTTCATGAAGCTCAGAATGTCCAAAAAGATCATTATCCTTGCCTGGTGGCTTTGCCTGTACTGGTGGATAGAGCCCAGAAGGTTCCTTGGCTCCAGGATGCCACTGCTTCAGCTGTTATATGCTAAACTGGTCACACACCAGCTAGCACCTTCCCAAAAGGTTTCTGGCTATGGATTAAGGTTTAGCATGGGCTAGGGGCCATTTCCAACAGAGTTTGGGGAGGTGGCATCCGTGTTTTGAGGGACAAGTATGTTTAACCATTATGGATGTGAGATGGGTTCGGCAATTTGTGGCCACCAGTGCCGGATAACAGCCTGGCCATGCTGCAGCCAGATGTAACACAGGAACTCAGCTGTATGCCCAAGCCTTTAGGTGTTTTCCCATTCCCCACAGCATGACTGGGAAAATTAATTTATAGTCTTGTTTACAAGTGAAAATGAATTGAACCTGTGGCCAGGAACCATAAAAATGTGCTGCAGCTATAGTCTCTACTGGCTTTAGAATAGAGTAGCACTTTCTTACTTGGACTTTAAAAAATATTTCTGTTATCATTACTGTTGTTATATGCTATCATGCAATTGCACAAGGACAGTGACAGTGACAGCTGAGGTTCCTGCAGGACCTACAATGTCTGATACACCCCAGCTCTGCTGGAAGCTCTCATTATGGCAGCATGACAAACAGCTCAAATGCCTCTGGAAGACAAATTCCCTGTAGAAATCTTTGGCAAAGAGCTCCTGGGAGGAGCGCCTAGGGAATCCCATTGCTGACATGCAACAAAGGCTTATTGGTAACTGCTCTGGAAATGACTAAAAGATATTAAGGGAAAATGTTTGCCTCCAGCTAAAAAACACTTTCAAATAGTGGGCCTCCTAAAATAATCATGTTGAAATTACCTGGAAACTTCTTGGACAGTTTCTTGATCTTGGTATTGAGCTATTGGCTTTGAGCATGTGATTGACAGGAATAGTGGTTCAGCTTTCTCAGAGAACCTTTGCAGGGTTATGATCTCCATATGTCCTCTTTCAGCTGATCATAAGAATTAAGCTCAGGTGGTCAGAGAGAAGGAATTAGGTCCTTGCACAGTGTTGTGAGGTGAGATCAAAGATACATGGAATTCCACTTGCCTTTTTCCCCTCCCTTGTCTTTATTTTTGCAAGACAAATGCAGGTATTGTTTTCCCTCTAGACTCCAAAAGTTCAGGATGGGTACTGCCCACTGAGAATCAAGAAGTTAGCACAACTGGGCTGAAGACAACAGGCATCCTTGAGTGCTGAGGGGCTGGTTCAGAAATGAACCAATATCCAGTGCATTTTCTTGCAATGTGCTGTTAGAATGGATGTATCAAATAGAGAAAAAACATCTTATTAAAATATTTAACATTAAATCTTTCTTATTCTTATAGAGAAATAGTAGAAAATGGTGAAAACTTTATTGAAGTACCACTGATTTTTGATTCTGTTGAAGAAGTGGACTTTTACACAGACTTTACTTGTCTGGCCCAGAACACATATGGATACCAAGTACTGCCAACAAGGGTCAAGCAGGAAGGTAGTTATTTTTACTGCTAATTTTGGATAATTTTTATTATTATTCTAATGCTAAATTATCTCTTGACCTGTTTATACTGTAAGAGCTAGTGTTGAGATGAGTTACTGCCTGGGGAAAATCTGGTGGCCTTTTTCACCTGTAGTCTTTGATACAGCCTGTTTACAAAATGCACCTTCTGTAGGTCATTTACTGACATTTTATGCAGGGATAAGGGTCTGTCTGTGCTGATATATCTGTTTGTTTGATAACACTCCAATTTAGATACACTTCGTGAAATAATTTTCCAGTGAGACTACTGGCAAACTTTCTTTGCAGCAAATTTCTTCCAGTTCCTCAACAAGTAGGGGAAAAAAAAGACAATAACATAATAAATTATTACTATTCCTTTTCTTCATGCACAGACAACTGCAAAAATAACAAGAAGTGTAAATTATGATGGGCGTTATTATTTTGGCTCCTAGTGATGGGAAGAGAAGACCCAAACTCAGCGCAATTAATGTTGCAGTGTGATAAACCATTGGCCAAGAGCCAGCTGTATAAACAATGTGAAGCAATGCTAATTGTTTCTTTGCATGACGTTGGTGAATCACTAAAGCTTGCTCACACTGTCTTAGAAAGGCACATGAACATATTCAGACTTCACTATCAGTTATGACTCACTCCAGGACCCTATGATGAGGGATTTGTACTTTTTTTTGCTGGATCATGTGCTGCCCTCGTCTTCCATGAGCCACATAGGAATAACTACAGAGGAGGCAATACATATTGGAATAATCCAGAATGGTCTGGACAGACACTGGTGTTGGAAATTAGCCGGATTTGGGAAGAAGTTCTGAGTTTTGGGTTGATCATGACTAATTTATAAGCTGCTCTGCAGGAAAAAAATATTCACACAACTTGAGGATGGACTAACTGTTAAGTATTCCTGCTCCACACAGTGCTTGGATTTCCTGCTTGTAATGTCTCTGCTTTTAACAAACCAAGGCAGAAAGCACACAGCTGATCTGATCAGGGGTTCAGAAAGTTCGGTGGATGCAAAAGATTGAACTTTAAATTCTCACTCTCTGTTGTTTTCCAATCCTTCCTCCTGTCTTGATGAACACATTTCCCAGAGTGCTCAATCAATAGATCTCTTCCTTTCAAAGGTGATAAGCCCTGATGGAAGGTTATCTTGCAGACATCCTTTTTATTGTCATTTCTCCTCTTCCCACTTGAGATTAGAGAACTATGTTCCTGGGAGTTTGCTGGGTTTTTTTTCTGTTTTTCTAATATTTAATTTGTTTACTTTTCCAGCTGTTGGTCTGTCCTGGTACATTGCAATGATTCCTGTTGCACTGGCCTGTGTGATCGTGGGAGGGATATGCATGCACAAGTGCTGGAAGCAGAGAGCTGATAAAGAATATACAACACCAAAGGTTTAAAATCCACTTGGTTTTCCAGCTGCCAACAGAACAAAAAATCGCCCTGGCTATCTTTCACATCAGACAGAGAGAGCGTTTCAGACCTGATATCCTGCATTCCCAACAGACTGATAATAACAGCTCTTTCCCACTTTTCCCAGTCTTCTATGATCTGATGAAGTTAAGAATATAAGTTTGCATTTATATGCTGCTTAGATGCAGGAAATCTGTGTCTATTGTTTTGCAGCTAGGGTGCAATCTGGAGAATTTTGGAACACAAAACTGTGCTCTGGATATGGGAAGAGTAGGAAAAGGGAGGTGCTCTCATCCTTTCTAATTCCAATAGATGTACTGGTTTTTTAAAAAAAGGAAAAGAAACCCCCTAAAATCTAAAAAGGGAAGCTAAGGAGGCTTGCTACAGAAGGACTATTTGACACTAGAGTGAAAAAGGTTTTCCATACAAACAGACTAAATTTATTTTACTTCAATCTAAAAAGAGCCATTTGTTTTCCCTTTTCCAGAGCCAAATGAAGTTGTCATGGCAACTGTATATCTATGAACTTCTCCACAGAAAAAAATAATTTTGTTCACCATTTGGATTACACTTTGCTTAAACAGACTGTCTCAGAATATCTCTCCCCCAGAGATAAATCCATCTGTATAACAGATAACTGTACATAGAAGAATTCAGTTCTGTTTTATCTACCAATATGTTGTAGCTAGAGATTCATAGGCAGCTGTAACATGTCATCTTTGCCAAGGAAAGAATTGGAGGGATGTTTAAGGGTTTTGAGAGTAATTTGGCTAATAAAAAGTTTATTCCTGGAAGTGATTGGACAGATTGCCAGTAATAATGAACAGTCTCATGCTTTTGTGCCTCCAGCCCTTTTGTGACCAGTCTGGTGTAGCTTCTGGTTGTGTCCTTTAAATTGCAGTATGCAAATTGATTATACAGGATGCAAAACACTGCTTTTTAGGTTAACCTATCTGTATTCTAGTCTTGAATCATATAATAATTAATAAATAAATAAATAATAAATAATAAGCAATAAATAATCAGTGACTATGTTGTACTTTGAGGGTCAGAATGAATAAAATGATTTGGTTACTTCCTCTCTTTCTCTTCAAAGAGATACTACTTATGACAGCTGAGAAATTGTTACATGAAATATGTGTATTCTGGAAAACATTTGGCTCCAAAAAACCAAATTGTAACACACTAGAGAGTGAATGGACCACATCCATCTGGGAGAGGCCATGACCTTATTTCTTTTCACCACCACTTCTAGTTGTCTCTGAGTTTGGCCCAATAAATGTCTGGAAGGATTCTAAAGAGTAGGATGTGGCTTGAGTTAAGAAATCTTCACTCTATTAGTGAGAACATTCATATGTAATGAGATTTAAACCAAATCCTCCCTTTAAATACCCTAAATGTTAGTTGTGAAGATACAGTCACAGAGATTAGAGTTCTGACGCAGTTTAGGTCAAGGGCATCCAGAGAACACCACAGGACTCACTGTTTCCATGTGTAGAATATTAAAGATAATAAGGACTACAAGTATTTTATGGGCAGATGGGAAAAAGGTGGATGCAAGTGTGGAGAACAGTCAGATCACTCGGATATCTGTTCTTTGAAGGGAGAAAGCTATAGATGAACTGACCAGTGTTGGAGGGAACACTGAAAATGTTTTAGAAGCATCAGGAATGCTCATTTTTTTCAAGCAATTGCTAGTCTACACCTAGAGAACAAATTAAGATTGTCAGTAAGTGTAATGTTTAAAAACGTGATTTGCTCTTCCTTTCCATCTGTGTCCTCCAAGACTAGGATGATCACATACCTGGCTGTAAGTGCAGGGTTGGATTTCACTAAGTATTGGAAAAGAAGCAGAACTTTTGGTATACACAGTACTGGTGCCATAAGAAAGTTAAATACCTCATATCCTTCTCCAAAACAAGAGAAGGAGAAAAAAATATGAATGTCAGATAAAAATTAGGTATTTAGAAAATTGCTGTTACATACTCAGTGGCATTTTGAATAAAAAAGGAAAGTAAAGAAACAGAGGCTTATCTTTTATGTAGTGATGTTTGCTTCTCTGATACTAGTATAATAATATTCTGAAGGCTTTTCATAAGTAGATATCTTCAGGTGAACTACACAGTGTAAATATTTTACAGATACATTTGAACAAGTGACCTGCATAATGTAAAAGCTTTATACTGATTTGTATCATTATACACAAGGGCAATATGGTTTATCTAGGTTTTGAAAATGTTGTGTGAAAAAATGGAAAACAAATAAAATCCAAACCAAAATGTTGGTGTGTTAGTTGAGTGGGAAGAAGGATGTCAGATATGAAATGTCTCTTTGAGGATGGCAGCTCTTTCCCAGACCTAAAAACAAGTACAGTATTAGGGAACATCACATCAAGGATTCAGAGCTCTGCACTACAATATTTATTTTCAGAAAAATTATGGATGTAATGAGGACAAGGTCACCTCATTCCATGTGGGTTTATAGCTTTTTCCAGAGAGCTACTCTATCTGCAACAACTTCAGAGGCACACCTATAGAGGGGAAAAGACTATGTCCCATGCTCTTGGCACCAGTTAACATCCAGGACAGAGGCTTCTCATGCAGAAGTTGTTATCAGAAAACACTAATTGAGTTATCAACTGTTTCCTAGTCTTCAGTGTATGTGATCTTGATGTCATTTATCCATCTAAATGGGCAGCATAACTAATGTTTGAGCAGCCAAACTGAACCTAAATGTGAAGGGCACCAAATAATTTGATCTGCTGGTTCCCAAACAAAATCCATAAATAAATGTGGGAGCAAGTGAAAACAAGGGCTGACCTGCACATAGAATTGATCTTGGCTGATCAAGACAAGAAAGTTACAATTTTTTATTTTAGTACCTGGTGTGGGAAGGCGTGCATGCAGCAGGATGAGGACATCCTTGTTGAAATATCATTGCTAGGAATAGTGTTTTAGATATGAACACCTAATTAAAGTGTTTATGATTAGTCTGCCTCAGGTCTGTAAAGCAACAGGTTGAGCAGGGCAAAACAGAGTAAAAAATAGTTCTTATGTTTTGGAGCTGAGAACTCCCAGTCCACTCATAACCTTGCAGCTGCTAAAGATAGCCTAGGGTGGGGTTCTTCTCATCCAGCTTTCACACAGCCTAAAGGAATACAGGTAATCCAAGATAGCCACTGATGTTTCCTCTCAGTGGAGAAAGACTTGTCTCTGGTGCCTAAAATAAGTGGGGATGAATTGCCTCTCAGAGGTGCCTGTCTGTTCCCACCAGCTTAAGACAAAGCGAGATGAATCCATTCTGCATGGATTCATGGATACAGGAATGACTGGTTGTGGATCACTGGATTTCAGGTTACCAGAGAGGTTATAAAAAGAAACAGTCTAAAGCCCAGAGACACCTTGTCCTGTAGTCGAAGCTGCTGGGCTTTTTTGGGAAATGACTTTAATGCTGGCAGCTCTGTGCACAGCAAGCACAGGCTCACACTAAATGAAAATACTGTGAGAGGTTGGGAGGCAGGCCCAAAGGTATATATTGTGGAATCCAACATAAGAGGGAGGCTGAAAATATCAAGCTGGTGCCTTGGAAAAACATTGGTGCCTCACAGATTGTGTGGTCAGGAAGTGCCACAGCTATTACAGGAAGAAAAGAAAGAGCTGTCCTGTGTGCATGGCTGAAGTACAGAGAGCCCTGCTGGGACCAAGAGGAAGTCTGCTGAGAGACTGCGGGTGAACTGGGTCCTGTCACCCTTTCCACAGCTCTCAGCCAGCTCAGCTCCCATGGCAGAGTCTGCCTGCTCCTTCCTGGCTCTGCTGGGCTACAGCAGAAAGCTGGAAAAAGCAGTTATATAGGAAAGGAGATAACATAAAACTAGCTTGCTTCCAGTGGACAAACTCATGTCATTGATAAGAAAACCACTTATATATATATATATATGTATTCTGCTTTAGTGTGATCATTACACTGGAAACTAGTCTCTATAGGTCTATATATATAGGTCTAGAATGCACATTATAGAGAGCTTAATAAAGCAGCTGAAATATAACTCCAGTCAGTTTTCAAGAAGAGTATATTCTTAAAATTCTTCAGCCAGGCACGAATAATAATAATAATGAGGAAACTTCTGAAAACTCATGTAGAACCAAGCTCACTTGTTAGAGTTTGGGAAATGTATCCATTTTTAAATCCTTATCTGCAAGGTGTAGTTTGGCTCTTATATTTGTGTGTCCATTCTACTCATTTTAAGTTTTTGCCCAGTCTAAATCATCCAAGAACCTGACAATGACTTCAGGTGTAAACAGCAAACTACTTTTTAACATGTTTAAAAGCTCAGTACCTCAGCCCTGACAAGAAGCGAAGGTCCTCTCTTCCTCACTGTTTTTACTAGTTTGTCATCTTTTGAGTCATGCCTCAGGAGCTTCATATATATGTACATAAATTTCATAGTAATGCACATCTTGATTACTTTGTGGATAATGAGGCATTGCCAGTGTTTCTGGTCATGAGGCTTGAATGGTGCTATTCATTTCAAGCTTTGGAGGTCCTGCTCTGCCTTGGTTATAAAGGTTTCATTTATCCATCTGCTAAGCTGTGGGGTAAATGAATCATAATGTTTGCTTGCTTTGGCTCCCAAATGTGCTTTTTCAGAATTGCTAAGGAGGCCAGGCTATGACTGGAAGTAGTTGATACTGTTTGTTTGCTTGCAAAAAAGACTCTCAAGTGACTTGTGGCTTTCGAGTTGGAGACACGGCTGAACAAAGTAATTAAAGGGTGTGGTTACACATACCCTCAGTATGTTACTACCACTCTTTTTGCTTTGACTGGGCCTTACCATGGCTGATCCTTCAGCTGGTTTGAGAACACTCCAGAGGAGAGCGTGGGCAAGACACGATGGTTTCTTTGGTCTCATCATCATCACTCTGCTAGCCTGTGAATGCTGGAGACACAGGCTTCCTTCTTATCATTAAATCATAGAATAGTTTAGGTTGGAAGGGACCTTAAAGATTATCTAGCTCCAATCCCCCTGCCATAGGCAGGGACACTTTCCACTAGATTACTCAAAGCCCTATCCAACCTGGCTTTGAACACTTTCAGGGGGGCACCCACAGCTTATTTGGACAACCTGTTACAGTGTCTCACAACCCACTCAGTGACAAATTTCTTCCTACTACATAATCTAACCCTACACTCTTGCTGTTTAAAGCCATTCTTCTTTGTCCTATCACTGCATGGTCTTGTAAACAGTCCCTCTCCAGCTTACTTACAGGTTCCCTTCTTGTGAGTAGAGAAAAGCTGTCAGCTACAGGAAAGAACAAGTGCCCTGCCTTTGATCACAGTTGATAGGTAGTTTTTCAGATGAATCTAAGCCATTAAAATACAGGAAGAAGCATGATAGAGAAAGAACTGAGATTCACATCTCCACCTAAGTGTGGCAGAACTCTATGACTGATTGCTTTTTAATAGCAAAGAACATATAAGATGATGATGATGATGATGATTACTACTGTCTTGTTGATGATGATTATTACTACTACCACATTGAGTGGTGCCATTTAGGAAATATGGATTGCATAGGACAACATAAACATGGGTGGAAGAGTGTAGGGAAATGGAGAACTTGTGAGAATAAGCAATACGAGCTTATTTTCTGCCTGGAAAGGCAATGAAAGGCCATGATAACTGCCCATAAGTTCATCCAAAGGGAGAGTAAAAAAGTAAGGGCATGTAATTATTTCCACTAATGAAGGAGACTGCATAATAAGACTGGAATAAGAGATGCATAACCAAAATTAAGATGCCTCTAATCCCTGCAGCAGTGAGGTCC